GGAGTAGGAGTGGGATTAAGATAACCCTTTCCCATCCCTGGGCAAAGACCCAATATAACAGTCACTGGGAAAAGATGGTCAGGCTATATAACCTTCTAACCAAGTGGCTCAGATGTTCACATAGATAGAAGTCCTTTATTCTGGTGTCCTATGGCTGTTCCTCTGTTCTGTGGAGAAAGACATTTGCTAAAAACTAGAAAGTTCTTGCCACAAGGACCAAAGAGAGGGTCTTATCTCCTGTTTGTATTTTTGAGGTCTACACAAAAGGTGTAACTCACTGGCATAGCAAAATGCTCAGGCAGTTCTTGTGAGCGCTCCTATTGTTGTTGGAGCAATAAATTATTCTTCAGGACTTTGGGATATTTAAGTAAGGTTGTTTTTAATCCTGTTCCTGCAATGACTCTAATTGTAGAGCCAAAAGTGTCTCTGCCTAGCTTTCTCTTCTCTTTTTCTCTTTCTCTTCTTCTTCTCATTTCTCTTCCAGCTCCTGGATCATAGTGAAGCCACTCAACACTAGTTTTCTGCCATCTAAAAGATAACAGACTGTAGTAGCATCATTAGCACCAGCTTTGTTTGGGGATTTTTTTTTTTTTTCCATTTTTTTTGCATTTTTTAAAGCCTCAGGTGAGGACTTGGCCTAAATATAGCCAAGCAAAGAAATCCCCTGGGTAGACCATTTCCTTTGTCTGTGGTAACACCACTGTTCTTGTGGGCTGTCTGGATTGTTCTGCTGCAGTATATTCCAGTTTAAATACAAAAAGTACCCCAAACCTCAAAACTCAGACTTCCTCATTGTGTTACAGACATGCATAATCTGAGAGAGCACCAGAGAGCACACTGCTCCTCTACTGCCTGATGTACAGGTTCAGGAGACCTTCAGAGTGTAGACATGGGCCTTTTCTTGGGGTACACAAGTAACCACACAGTTGAGAATTCAACTGGAGAAAGAGAACCCAGCACTGGACAGATGTGTTTGTCCTTGTCCACCCATTGCAAGATGCGTAATTGGTATGACTCAAAAGCTGAAAGTTTGCAGCACTTCCCAGGACTAGATTTAGGCACAGAAAAAACACACAGTTGCCCAGGGCAGTCAGCATCCCACTGTATCAACAGTAAACAGCGTGATGAAAGGGCAGATACAGACACTGCCCAGCAGTCCAGCCACAGCCATCAGTGGGCATAACCTTGTCCTGCTTCTGCCAAGAAACTCCATCTCCATAGGAGTGTGGAGCTACAGCCCCCTCAGAGCAACAGCTGCCCTTAAACACCATCCCTAAAGTGGTGCAGGAACAGTAAATGCAACTTTGGTGCAATTGATTCTAGCCTTTCTCCTCCCCAGCCCAATCTCTTGGCTGCATGGCTTACCTCAACTCCCTCCCTTCTCTGCTTCTGCAGTGTGAGGTGCCAGAGGGTGGGCAGAGCTCCTGGTTTGGATGTGTCTAGTGCGGGTGGGAGACTGCCTAATGCTCTGGGAACTTACCTGCTGGAGGAGGGAGACCAAAGGAGGTAAAAGGCTGGGGGAAAGGAGAGAGAAAGGCAGATACACAGAAACTCTGTCTTCCTTAATTTTCCGGAACCCCATTTGATTCTCCATGACATTTCCTGTGGCTCTAATTTTATTGCCTTGGGACTTCTCTCCCTCCCTTCTCCATGAAGTGTAGTCTGTTACTACCACAAAATCAATTACTTTTCTTCCAAAGATGAGGACATAATAAAGCATGAGTTTTTTCACTTTGTGATCAGAAGTCCTTTCTTCGACCTTTACAGCACAGTAAGTGTTAAAAAAACGCCTACACAGGTAAGTATGGAGTTTCTTTAATTTGGAGGTGCAGTAAAACTTCTAACAATGAACTACTTTTTCCTCTGAATGACTACCATGGGCCCAGACCTGAAGTCTAACCTTGCAGTTGCTTTGTCTGTTGACATCTTTAATGTGATAGGGATAGTGACAGTGATTCTTATCAAAAAGAGCATCTTCTATGACTAAATCTACTTTTTGGTAGAATATCCACCTATTCTTATTTGATCATCATTGCCACTCTATGCTTCAGAAAGGTCGTGTCACATTTTTATTCTCTCCTAGCATATGAGAAAGTGAGCTCCCAGGAACTGGTCTTTATAAAGCCACCATTGCCTTAGATCTTTCTTTCTGAAATCCCAAAAAACAGGACTGGCTCTGTTGATTCTTTCCAGATTACTGTTTGTAGGGATGACTGGAGTTGTTTAAAGTTCTGGATGCTCAAGGTGAGTTGTTCATTGCCTCAGTCAATATCAAGTTACTGGCAAACATGATCAAAAGCGTGAACACAACCATAGGGTGTCACTTAATACATTGCTTTTCAGTTCAGCCCTTGCTTCATGCTTCTGGTACTGCATACGAGAAGAAGTGGAGCTGGTTCAATTTTTATTTTTGTAAAAAACACTTTTGCAGTCAAAAAGTTGCTAATACAATGAGTAGAGTTGCTTTGCTGCACTTATTCCCTTTATACTGTATGAGTTGCGGGGAAGAAAGCAGGTCAGACATCCACTTTGGGGTGTTGGCTGGTCTCAGTGACAACTCAATATCATTCATGTTCACAAGCAATTTAAGAGAATGAACCTGGAAAATGACGACAGACTTAGACCTCATCAGTCATCAATCTCACACTCTAGCAGGAATTTATGAAGCAGAAATACTCCTGAGCCTAGGCATTTCTGAGTCTCCAGAAGGTAAGCCCTCTTTGTCCCCAAAGACAGTCAGCACTGCACTATCTTTGGCTTTCCTTTTTGGAAATAATTATATCTTAGTTATGTATGAATAGCTGATATATGAACTACTACTGATATGGTTCTATCACTCCATATGTCAATAAAGAAGCAGTAGGATAGGAATGACCTTGGGATTTTGATAAAGGTGAATCCTGGAGCATCCTGGAAGGGTGCTGGACAGCAGGTGACATTTTCCAAATGTAATAGGCAAGAAATGGGAGTGGTAAACAAGTACCTGGACAGTTCTCTGTCCTACAAGTTTTTAACTCCAGCAGAACAGATCTGCCTGTTTTTAAGAGGAAAATGTTGACATATCTTACTGTTTGAAAAATGTATTTTCTAGTGGTACTTCAATTTCAACCTGTGAAGAAATGAAATTACTTTACATGGATTATATACCTCCCTATTATGTAAATTATATCTTTTTCTGTGCAGCAAAGCCTTTCAGGGTATAAGAGAGTTTTTGATGTTTTATAATGTTTATAATAAGCCTCTCCTTTAGAAAATCACAGCTGTGACCTGAGAAGATAACAAATGCTCAGCATTGGAGTGGCTTTTTATACTTGGATGCTTACTACTTGCAATTTTTTGTCTGTTTTTGCAGTGCTTTGTGGTTTGGTTTTTTTGACACTGGGAGAAATGGACCGAGAACAAACCCAGATCACAACTTTTGATTGCGATATATCTTATTTGAAGACTTCATATCCAAGATTTGAAATCCTGTTTTTCCACAGGCTTAAGGAACTTCTTTAGTTTGCATTGTCATTTCCCTAAGTACCCCATAAATCATTCCTGCCCAGCCTCCCGGAGCTTCCCCAATCCTGCCCAGGGCCCTGGACCCCATCTCAACCCCCTAGGGCCGTCAGCCCCTGCCCCAGCTCCCCACAGCCAGGCCCTGCCTGGCCATGGGCCCGCATCCCAGCCTCAGCCTGTCCCCGTCCCCATGGAGGTGCCCAATGCTGGGGCTGCCCCGCTGCCCCTGGCTGCCCTGTGCCTGGCTGGGTCTGGGACAGGCCCTGGCTGCCAGCCCTGCCATGGGGAGCCCACGCAGCCCACAGGCCCAGAGATTGTTTGTATTGAGAGATGCTTTGTACTACTCAGTATTATTTAGAACTAGAGAGAAATATGTGTAAAGGAAAAGATTTGTTTGCACTCGCCAGATTCCCAAGCACCAGTGGACTCTGGTCAGAAAGGAAAATTTAAACCACTAACTGCTTGTTCATGTTCTATGAAATCATGAGTTGTGCAATTACCATGCATTTGGTAAGACTCAGGAGGGAAGCGATGAATATCGTATCTTGCAACACTTCCGATGGTATGACAGTTCCCCAAAAGACAAGCAGCAAGGGAGACAGCCCTATTTATAGCTATACAACCAATTCAAATACAAGTTTTTTCCATCTTTTCTGAACCTGAAGACAATGATAGAAAGATAAACGAGATGATAAAGACATTTTGAAATAGAAGGTAGGTCCAACTTTGTCTTTCTGACTACTTTGTTTGCTGACGTATTCACTGAGACTCTAGGAAGTCCAGGGCTGGAGGGGTGACATCCCAGGCAAAATCTAAAAAGCCGTCAGAGGAATACACGGAGCTAAGTTGAATGAAGTTTTTTTGCAAATAAAGTACCTACTGCATGCTAAGAAAAGTCCTAGCAACAATTTTTATTTTCTTACTGGGTTTCGTACTGAATTTGTAGAAGTTAGACGCTGCTCCTAGATCCACTTTATGCATATACTCAAAAACATCCTTGAAAGTACACGAACAGATGTTCTCACCAAACTTACCATATTCACCATTGGGTAACTCAAGCTCATTGATATTGCTGTAACCCATTTAGATATTTTCTGTTTGCAGCTGTTTACCCACCTGTTTGATGTCTGTTCATCCTAACCTTTGTATATAGCAGATAGATAGATAAATAATCTTTAGACTTTACGATAGCCAGTCATTAAATGTATGTATGTAATTTTTATACAGTGCTCCTGAGATCACCAGCGTCACAAATCATCACAAAAATTGTTTTGTTACAGAAAAGGACAACTTCTTTAACTTCTTTAATTTGAACATTTCTCTGACTGCTTGAGAAATCTATCTAATCTTTCCTCCCACCGGAACTGGGAGACGGTCAGATGGTGTAGAAGCAGGCATAATGAGCAGGTCCGACTAAACAAATTCAGAGGAGAGTGGTTCACGCTGGCATCTTTCATCTTGAGCAAGTTTCACTGTTCTCTGTCTCCGAGGCGGAAGAGATGGTTGCTCCTCTTGCACTCATCTTAATGATCCAGTGGATGCTTCTGAACACCCAGTTGTGTGCCGGCTGGCACTGGACAGACTGTGAGTAAAGCACTTCCATGGGGCAATCCTCTGAGGTGGACTGTAAAATGCTTCTCATTATGGGTAGCTGTGCTTAAGTTGCCTTCTGTCTTAGATGTGCTAGGTAGTAAACTCTGCACCTAAAAATCTGAGAATCAGTCCTGCACCTTACTGATCCTACTATGTGATACTTGCAGCGGAGATGCCAGACTGACGTATTAGAAATTTGATGCTGAATCAGTGGAAAAATGGAACTGAGTTGGATGAGCAGCATGAATTTCACTGAGAACCGGTGTTCAGTGACTGCAGGAGATTTTACCGTGACTATAATGGTAAAATTGCTATGTAAAGTTTTGACGGAGATAAGTCATTACACTTTCTTTTTTTCTTTCATATTCTTAAGTAATTGAAAAAAGTGTCCTTGTTATGTACAAGATGATAGTCTCTTTCAGCAGTCCTTTCTAGTTTGTGTTGAGACTTATCTTGGTACTGAGGCATACCTGTGCTCTCTGGCCATTCTTGTGAAATTCTTGCCTTCAGAGGACTCTTGTGGAATCAGGGCCTTGATGGGACTGAAGTGTAAGATTGTTTCTTTTCTTGGTTTCAGAGGAACTTTGATGAGAGGCATCTCATGCTGTGGAGATGAGAATTTTTAAGTACAAAGGACAGACTGAATTAGCTACATGCATCCTTACTGACTGACTTAAAACCAAGACATAAGCATTCAGGGATATTGGAAATGTGGTGATGTGATTGATCAGGGCTGACTGGTGTGACACAGAAGCCTGTGAAGACACAATATTTCTGGAGTGGCTCCTGAGGGCCAAGCAGGTTCATACAATCATAGAATGGTTTAGGTTGGAAGGGAACTTTTAAAGATCATCTAGTTCCACCCCTCTGCCATGGTCAGGGACACCCTCCACTAGACCAGGTTGCCCAAAGCCCCATCCAACCCGGCCTTGAACACTTCCAGGGAGGGGGCATCCACAGCTTCTCTAGGCTACCTGTTCCAGTGCCTCACCACTGTCATAGTGAGGAATTTCTTCCTTGTATGTAATCTAAATCTACCCTCCTTCAGCTTAAACCCATTGTCCCTTGTCCTATCACTACATGCCCTTGTAAACAGTCCCTCTCCAGCTTTATTGTAGGCTCCTTTAGGTACTGGAAGGCTGCAGTAAGGTCTCCCTGGAGCCTTCTCTTCTGCAGGCTGAACAACCCCAGAGAGGTGCTCCAGCCCTCTGATCATCTTCGTGGCCCTCCTCTGGACCCACTCCGACAGCTCCATGTCTGTCTTGTGCTGAGGACTCCAGACCTGAACGCAGTACTCCAGGTGGCATCTCATGAGAGTGGAGTAGAGGCAGAGAATCTTCTCCCTTGACTTGCTGGCCATGCTTCTTTTTATGCAGCCCAGGACATGGTTGGCTTTCTGGGCTGCGAGTGCACATTGCCAGCTCATGTCCAATTTTTCACCTACCAGTATCCTTAAGTCCTTCTCTGCAGGGCTGCTTTCAATCAATTCATTCCTCAGTTTGTATCGATATTGGGGATTGCCCTGACCCATGTGCAGGACCTTGCACTTGGCCTTGTTGAACTTCATGAGGTTCACATGGGCCCACTCCTCAAGCCTGTCATGGTCTCTCTGGATGGCATCCTTTCCTTCTAGCAAATCAGCTGCCCCACTCAGCTTGGTGTCATCCACAAACTTATTGAGTGTGCACTCAATCCCACTTTCTATGTCATTAATGAAGATATGGAATTGTATTTGTCCCAGTATGGAGCCTTGAGCGACACCACTTATTACTGGTTCCACTTGGACATTGAACCATTGCCTACTGTAAGCTGTTGGATGCACCCATCCAGCCAATTCCTTATCATCTAACAGTCCATCCATCAAACCCATATGCCTCCATTTTAGAGGCAAAAATGTTGTGGGGGACCATGCCAAAGGTCTTACAGAAATCCTGGTAGATGACATCTGTTTTTCTTCCCTTATCAACTGATGCAGTCACTCCACTGTAGAGGAGTATTAGATTACTCAGGCACAAAATGCCCTTGGTGACGGCATGTTGGCTGTCTTCTGTATGCTCCCACATTACTTTCCAGGGTGATTTGTTGCATGACTTTACCAGGCAAGGAGGTGAGGCTGACTGGTCAGTAATTCCCAGGATCCTCCTTACGACCCTTTTACTTTTCTACAGTCACTGTAGACTTTGCCTGACTGCTATAGCTTTTTAAATATGATGGTGAGTGGCCTGGCAACTACATCAGCCAATTCCCTCAGGACCCTAGGATGCAACTCATTGGGACCCATGGACTTAGGTATGCTCAGGTTCCTCAGGTGGTCTCAAACCTGATCCTCTCTTATCATGGGAGGGACTTCATTCCTCCAGTCCCTGCTTTGAGATTCAGGGACTTGAGAGATGTGGGAAGAGTGATTACAAGTGAACACTGAGGCAAAAATTTGCTGAGTGCCTCAGCCTTCTCCTGTCTTATTTATCAGGGGCAGTACACTTTCTTTAATGTTTCTTTTCTGATCAACGTACCTGTAGAAGCCCTTATTATTATTTTTTACTCTCCTTGCCAAATTCAGGTCCAGATCAGATCCAAACTTAGCTGCAGATCCAAATTTTTTGTAGCAGATAGAAGATCTAGAACTCAGATCTTGTGTAAAATGGATTACTTGAGAAGTGTCATGACATTATGAAAAGACAACTTCTGCTTCTGATTTAGTCTGTTTTCAGTGGTTATGCAGAGAAGACAGCAAGCTAAGCATTTCCTATTTTGCAGCTACTAGGTTTGTTAAGCAAAATAGTTTTCTCTTTCTCTGGCCTCTACAGGCTGCACAGATAATTCAAAGCAAGTCATGAAGTTGTTCTCTCGGGATTGTTCTTTTACCTGTACATGTATTATTCCTGTCTTAGTTAAGTTCACAGATTCACAGATTTACAGATTCACAGATTTACAGATTCACAGATTGGTTGGGGTTGGAAGGGACCTCTAGAGATCATCTAGTCCAACCCCCTTGCTAGAGCAGGAACATCTAGAGTAGGCTGCACAGGATTGCATCCAGGCAGGTTTTGAATATCTCCAGAGGAGTTCTCTTCCTCTAGAGCCCAAAGCTGTCTCCATCCATTTGGCCAACATTCCTTGTGCATCTGATTGGGTAAGTAATCTCCAAAATAACTTTGTTTCAGGAACAGGAACTGTAACAGGAAGGTATTGTTTTTCACAGTTTGTTTTGCATGAATGGAGAGGGAGCGTTTTACGCTACATTACTGTGTCAAGCAAGATGTATGCCACATCTATAGTAAACATTAATGTTTCTATAGGCAGTTTCTAGAAAATTCTGACATTTGGACACTCCTCTGATACTCCATGAAGTTATATCACCTGTATCAGTAATCACAAATTTGAGTAGATTCATGTCCCCCTCATTTCAACAAAGCATGGAAATTATAGTCCTCTAAGCTCTGACAGGAGCTGCTAGAGAGGTATAGACCCTGCCTGAAGGCGGTGTATCCCATGCATTTTATATGCCGCTGCCTGTGTCTTCCTTCACCCCTGCATAGACAAGGCACCTATATGACTTGCCCAAATTAGGTGCTAGTTTTTAGAAAACTGTTAGTGGAGATGAATCTCAAGCCAGCTCCTTGCACAGGCAATCATTTGTGGGGTATCTTCCTTTGTTTGTCAAAGGAGTGTAAAGCAAAATACAGCCATCTGTTGATTCTTATGAAAACACATATGTTCTATTTTGAGGCGGTTCAACTGATTTGGTGGACTGTTGTGGATATGGGTAGAAGGAGGGGAGGAACTGCTATTCATAACACCACCATGAGCTTTTCTGGAGGGAAGCACTGAACTCCTCACCTTGCACTGGCAAAGGTTCATTACCCAAAACTTCTGGGAAGAGAGTTCTCGAGCCTGGGAAAACATCAGTACCTACTTCACTATTGTAGTGGTCCCACTGCTACAAATCAAGCACAAGCTTAAGCCCTTTCTACAGGGAGTAGCACTGTGTAAACCAATAGATGAAAAACTAAAGAGTAAACCTGCTGCATGACATTTTTCAGGCAGGGAATATGAAGTGCATGTTTGGAAATACAGCACCTCCTCTGCACTCTGGGGCAAGCTTTTCTGTTACAGGAGTGAACATGAATGGCACATACTCAGGCGTATGCAGATGTAGTCCTCAAGGTAATACGTTAGACTTTGGGAAATGGTATGCCTACTTCCAATGGCCTGAGGTAAAAGCAAAACTGAAACCCTTCATTCCTTAATTCATTTGTTTCCTGCAGGTTGCACAGGTTCACAGCCTTATGACATTTTAGTGAAAAGGAATTTCCCACAACTAGCTCAGCAATTTTTCAGTCCTCAGTTGCCACCTTGCTTGGTGTCATGTTTTTAATTGCCACTTCTCTTTTAATTGCGCTAATATTTTATTGACTGCATTTGAATGTCTTTAAAATGTTATTAAAAATCCAAATGAAACAGATTTGTGGCTGTAGTTTTGGAATTCTTCCTTGAGAAATCTCTGACACCTTGTCACGGATTGTCACAGCATAACTCATGGTGTAATGTCCAACACTTTTCAGTGTCCCATCCACAATAATGAAAGGTCTGACAGAATTTACTCCTCTTTATATGAGAGAGATAATATATGTGTTAAAAGAATAAGATACCAGAGCTGTTCATTTAAGCAACATGGAGTTGGCATATACAAAACCGCATTACTTCCTGCCTCAAAATGTTTGCTGATTCCATATAAAAGGATGGATAATTCTTCCTTTTAAAATGTATGTTTAGTCTCCTTACTGGGTTTTGTAGGGGGCGGGGGTTAAGGAGTAAATTGATATGTTTGTGATAAGGACAAGATTCCTCATGTTAATCCCAGGTGGAAGAAGGTATCACTGCAGAGCACAAACACCTCACAAGTTTGCACCAACACCTCCCTACAGTCTTGAAAAACTTCACAGCTCTGCATTTGGGTTTCTCTCCCTTTTTAGAGTCCATAGGGAAGCTCCTCATGCTCTTCAGTCATTTGGCAGGGCACTGAAGAATATCCTTCAAATAAAAATGCTATAGCAGGGTTCTGAAGGATGACAGGCAAATGTTTCTGTTTGTGGCATTGTGGCACCAGTGATTCCTTTCAAATAGGAACAATTTGAAGGACACAGGTAGCCTGTTTAGGTGTCACCCTGTACTACAGCAGTGTAGGCTCCCCTGAGACTTATTCTATCAGATGCAGCTATAATATCTTTAGGGGGTTTATCCATGACAAATTCTTCTTTGAATTTGTCAGTGCAAGCATGTTCCACTGTGACTACCTAAAATGAAGCAAGTCATTCCTAACCCAACCAATAACAGCTGCAGTTGCAGGTGTCTAACATATCTGGGCGTGTGCTAAGATCCTCCAGCTTGGAGCAATCACATGGTTTTTCCTCATCATGTGCATTCCTGTGTTTGCAGGCATGAATGGGTCGGCCGTTGAAAACTTCTCCTGTGTGATTTATAACGTTTCCTTCATGAACTGCACTTGGCAAGCGGGCAGGGATGCTCCAGGAGATACCCAATATTTTCTCTACTGGCAGAACTCGAAGTAAGTAGGTCTGCTTGAGTCTAGGGAAGTCTGAATTCTCATTTGACACATCACACTGCCCACATTTAACTAAAATACCTTGCTATGTACAGATATGCTGACGAGATGGAATGTGAGCTTTACATTAAAGATGAAAATGGCAGGAACACGGGATGTAGATTCCAAAATGTGAAGATAGAGACTGAAAAAGCTTACTTCCTGGTGAATGGGTCTAGCAAAGTCTCCCTGATCCAGTTCTATGATGAGTACATTGAACTGTATAAAATTGGTAAGTAAAGAATTTCTTTCTGCTTTATTTTCATTATTGCATGAGGGTAGTGGAGCATTTATCCCTGAGAAGGAACCAAGTACACTGTCTCACCTAGAGTCAAAAGTAAGAGACTATGGTCTCTTCAAGAAAACCTATTCCCCCAGCAAAAGAGCACTGAGGAAAATTAAGCAAGAAAGCTCCACAGCTGCAGCCTACCTCAGATTCTTTAGCAAGCTACCCTTATTGGTTTTAGGTCTTTCTCGATCAAGGTCCACAGGGCTTAAGAGACTGTTCTTCCCCCTGCTGTCCTTGCAATGATGGCCAAAGACCTTCCAACAGAGGAGACTTTTCAGGAGACAGGTTGATGATCTGCTATGTCAGGTGGCTGAGTTGCAGGAAACAGTAAAAAGGCTGCACAGTATTAGGGAGGTCAAGACAGAGACGGATAGGTGGTTTCATAACCAAGTATCTGTAGTGGACACCACAGAGAATGAGGCACCTTGGACCTTGGTGACCCACAAAAGTAGGGCTCCGCTTCAGTCTTCACCCTCCAGCTTCACAACCAAAACCAGATATGAATCCTTAACAGCTGTCGACACCCATGAGCAAGATGTGCAATGAGAAATTGTACCAGCAGCAAAAAGTGGATACTGTAAAAAGAAACGACAAGTGTTTCTAGTGGGAGATTCTCTGTTAAGGCGCACTGAGATGCCCATCTGCCAACCTGACAGGGAGTCATGAGAGGTATGCTGCCTTCTGGGAGCCAAGATGAGAGATGTTGCCGAGAGCGTGCCACAACTTGTCAAGAGCACAGACTACTATCCACTGCTACTCTTTCATGTGGGCATGAATGACACTGCAAGCTGAAACCTGGGTAGAACCAAGGAAGACTATAAAGCCCTGGGGGTGCAAGTGAAAAACATTGGTGTCCAAGTTATCTTTTCCTCCATTCTACCAGCTGGAGGGAAGGGGATAGCCAGAAATAGATGTATAACATATATCAACTCCTGGCTATGTAGCTGGTGCCATCACGAGGGTTTTGGCTTTAATGACAATGGGAAATTCTTAGACTATAAACTGTTATGAGAGAAGGATGGGATCCACCTGTCTAGAAGAGGCAAGGGAATCTTCAGCAGCAGGCTGGCCAACATGGTGAAGCAGGCTTTAAACTAAAGGATTCAGGAGGTGGGGTCCAAAATGGCAAAGCCCATGCCATTGCATACAACTGGGGAATAAGCCAGGCTAACGAGAGCAGCAACAAATGTCCTGTAACTGCCTCCCAAGATAAGAACCAGAAAGCCAACCACCTCAAAGCTGTGTGTGGCTATGGCGGACCCTCTTGCACCCCTCCAGCGAAACCTCCACACTCGATTACCTCTCTAAAATGCCTGTACACCAATGCACGCAGCATGGGGAATAAACAGGAGGAAATAGATATCTGTGTGCAGTCGCAGGGCCATGATCTCATTACAATTACAGAGACATGGTGGGATAGCTCGCATGACTGGAATGCTGTCATGGATGGTTACACACTTTTTAGGAAAGACAGGCCAACTAGGTGAGGTGGTGGAGTTGCTCTTTATGTAAGAAAGCAGCTGGAATGTATTGAGCTCGGTCTAGGGGAGGATGAGGAAAGAGTCGAGAGCTTATGGGTAAGGATTAAGGGGCAGGCTAATATGGGTGACATTGTTGTGGGTGTTTACTACAGGCCACCTGATCAGGAAGAGGAAGTGGAATTCAAGATCCTCAGGGCAGCGAGGTGGGCACACAGCAAGCTCACTACCCTGGACTTCAGGTTGGCCTCTTCAGGGATCTGCTTGGTGTAATACCATGGGATGAAGCCGTGGAAGGAAAAGGGGCCCAAGACAGCTGGCTGATATTCAAGGGTCACCTCCTCCAAGCTCAGGAGCGATGCATCCCAACAAAGAGGAAGTCAAGCAAAAACACCGAGAGGGCCCCGTGGATGAACAAGGAGCTCCTGGGCAAAGTCAAACAAAAAAAGGAAGCCTACAGAGGGTGGAAGCAAGGGCAGGTAGCCTGGGAAGAATACAGAGAAACTGTCCGAGCAGCCAGGGATCAGGTTAGGAAGGCCAAAGCCCTGACAGAAATTAATCTGGCCGGGGATGTTAAGGACAACAAGAAAAGCTTCTATAGGTATGTCAATGATAAAAGGAGGACGAGGGAAAATGTGGGTCCCCTTCCGGAATGAAACGGGTGACCTGGTTACCCAGGACATGGAGAAGGCTGAGGTACTCAATGACTTCTTTGCCTCAGTCTTCACTGGCAAATGCTTGAGCCACACTGCCCAGGTCATAGAAGGCAGGGACTGGGAGAATGCAGAACCGCCCACTGTAGGAGAAGATCACATTTGAGAATGTCTAAGGAACCTGAAGGTGCACAAGTCCATGGGACCTGATGAGATGCATCTGTGGGTCTTGAGGGAACTGGCGGATGAAGTGGCCAGG